TCCATAACATGAATCTCTCGCCCAAAAATCCGTTAAACACAACAAAGAAGGTAGAAATCATATCACATTTCCTATTTATTATCCTTCTGCAGATGTTTGTCGAGGAAGTTATGGAACTTTTGGAGCTTACAGTATTAAGATCAGCATTAGTTGGTTTGCCAGGAGTTAACGGTCTCTCAACTGAGCAACGCAAAAGGTTGACCATTGCAGTGGAACTAGTGGCGAACCCCTCTATCATTTTCATGGATGAACCAACTTCAGGTCTGGATGCAAGGGCTGCTGCGATTGTGATGAGAACTGTTAGGAACACTGTTGACACAGGACGAACCGTTGTTTGTACCATCCATCAACCTAGTATTGACATTTTTGAATCATTTGATGAGGTGAATTTAATACCTTTTTGAACTCTATCAATCTAATAATGTGTTCTTCTTTCTCGTTTGACATTGCATACTAATATAAACACCACTCTTTGCAGCTATTTCTAATGAAACGAGGAGGACAAGAGATATATGTTGGTCCATTGGGTCACCGTTCTTGCCATTTGATCAAATACTTTGAGGTAAATTGTCTATGTGATCAAGAGCTTTCCCTTTTTCGATTAAATACTAAACTAATATTTCTTACATTCAGTTAATGTCTGGGGTAAGTAAAATACAAGATGGTTACAATCCAGCCACTTGGATGTTAGAAGTCACAACCTCGGCTCAGGAAATGATGTTGGGAGTGGATTTTGCTGATTTGTACAAGAGATCAGATCTTTACAGGAGGAATAAAGTGTTGATTAGTGAACTCAACGCTCCTCGTCCAGGTACGAAAGACCTGCATTTTGACAGCCAATACGCACAGCCATTTTGGACCCAATGTATGGCTTGCCTTTCGAAGCAACACTGGTCATACTGGCGTAATCCTGCTTATACTGCAATCAGATTTCTCTTTACAATCTTCGTGGCCTTGGCCATAGGGACAATGTTCTGGGATCTTGGTACTAAAGTGTAAGTCAAAACCTATGAGACGAAACAAGTACTCATATAATCTGGAAATTACTAAATTCTTAATGCTAAAAGCTTCTTTTTTTTTTT